ACTTCACTTACCACCCCCCCCCCCGTTTCTACCTGGAGACTTCAGGAATATTTTACTATTGTGTTCAGACAAGTTACTGGTGATGTCCTTTGTACAAGGAAATACCATGCAGCTGAATTTTAGAGTGCAAAAATGGAGGTTTTCTTTAAAATTCCAAGGTTTTTCATTTTACCAGTATCAATGGATAAACTTTAGAGGTTTTATATGTAATTTTTTGCTACATACATAGATATAATAATATGGATTCTTCAGTATCAGTTGTCCTTTTTTCTGGACTGTAGTCTGGAGCTGGGAGCCAGTTTCTAATAAAGTAAAGAAAGATTCATACTCTTTGACAGGGGTTAGATCGGCTGTTTTTTTGAGAAGTTCTAAGCAAGCTCATCTCTTTAGTTCAGCAGGAACTGAGGAGAATGGGCACTGCTAAGGATCAAGCCATGACTCACACTTGAGCCTCATTTGTCATGTCTTACTTTAAATGAACAGAATCTTGACAGTTCTTTTGTCTTCCAGTCAAAAGAAAAGCACATATGTAGCAAAGTGTGCTAAGAGTCCATCATATTTTCCTGTCAAACATTATAGAACAAGAGGCTGTATACATCTTGGGACAGTGTGTTTATATTTTTGTTTTCCTCAGTGAGGGAGATTCCCACTTAACAGCTACTGGCCATTTACCAGCAGCTCAGGGACTCCTCCATTTTTGTGCAATTATTTTTGTTAAACATATAGTTAGTAATTATTATATCCAGTCAAATTTCATAAACCTTCTTCAAACAGTTAGAACCTCTTTAGTTTTGGTACTTGGCAGTGCCTCCATTGGAAATAGTATTAAATTGAGAAGCCTAAGAATCTAATGTGATGGAAAACATGGATTACATATATCTGTAAATCACTTTTATAATATATCGCTTCTAAAATTAGCCTACCAGGAAAAACTGTACTACTAGATTCATTTTTGCTTTTAGCTTTTTCCATGGAAAACAGGCTAGCTGCTAATGCATCTTAGATTTAATTGAGAAATAATTGCAAGCTTATTTTTTAAGCTAAAGTTTTTATTTACCTTCAATCATTTGCACGAGTTTTTGGCTTCTTAAATTACGTGTAGTGATGTCAGAATATGTGGAGAAAAAGAGCCTGAAGTGGGTCAGACTTGGCTGTTTAAATCTGATTGCAGCAACGGTATGTGTGCCTTATGGATTATGTTACTGTGACATTACAGATAACATGCCGGAATAAAAAATGGCTGCATTTTTTTGCGGGGGGGGGGGGCGCGGTACATTCAAGTCCTTTTCACCCCAACTGTCATGTTGTTATTTTTTGGGTGGAAGTGCCTCTCTCTCTTCTATTGAAAGAGACACCAAGGCTGTTTTGCCATCTCTTGCACTGAGCGGGAACTAACTAATTTCAGCTACCTATGAATCCAGTATTAAAGACTTCAGGATTTGCAGAGGGATAATTTGAATTAATCCACAGACTTTCACTTTGGTATGTCAATACATATGCAATATTCAGTTTGCATTCCCAAAGATGTCTCCTTTCCTGAATTTCTGCACATGACTTCTAGATATTCACATAACTGGTGAAAAGTCTGAAAGGACTATTTACCGAAGTTGCCTTCCTCTGGTGCAATTTATAAAAGCAAGTTGAATAGGCAGATTTGTTTATCCTTTTGATTTTGAAAGTGTGGCTGATACAGTTGTATTTCAGTATGTTTATTTTTAGTTATCTTCCAGTAACTTGCTATTGAAGCAAAATTATGTTTGCTTTGTCAAAGCAAATGATACTATCTAAACAGGTACCTCTTTACTCAACATTACTGAAATCCTCTTTACATTTTATTTACAAAACCTGTTACCTAAAATACCCATGTCTTTGCTAGATTGACAATGTGATAATTGATTTAAATGCATTTCAACTTTAATTGTAGTATTAATTGGTTATTATTGTAAATTGAAAAGCCAAAGGAATGCTGTTTGTCCATAGAAATTAGAACTTTTTGTCTGTTCGTTCTGTCTTGCAACATTTTGAAGGATTTGACATTGTGCATGCATTTTATAAGTAATGCCATAAGTAACAGTAGTGGCCTTAATTATGTTCTGTTGGTGGCCATGTGCTGCAAGGAAGTTTGACCCTTAAAGTGAGTCCTGTTTACGACTCTGTATCCTTCACCTGTTCTCCATTAGGTAAAACATTCCTTTTTCTGACAGATTGTAATTGTTTTTGCTCTGCAGGAAGACATTATCTTTCACTGCACTCTGAAATTTCAAACAATGCTGCCTCAGTAACCATAGTTTTTTGTATGCAGTTAGATGGTATGTTTTTAACTTGTATATTTTTGAATCCTGTTTCATACAGTTACTTCACTTCATCACATAGTAAATATTGTTGTTTCACATTTGGCTATGCTGTATAGAAAATGTATAGGTAAACTTACTTTTACATTATAATGCTATTTATTCTTCTTGATTTTATTAAGATGCTACTAAGTGTTGAAAGATTTTGCATTTTTTTAATGAGGCATGGGTTCACATGATCCTTAGGAAAAAAAATTAAAGGATGTTATTTACCACATTTAAACTCTCAGGTCATATTGCTAAAAAAGTTAAAACTCTAGTTTTGCTGTGTTACTTAAGCGTGCTGCTGTAGGAGAAATACAGACTTTTATATGTGACAATTTAGCTTTTATCAAGAGTGAGAGTCAGGCATCTTTTTGGTGTTCACCATAGTGGCATTTAGCAAATAATCATATAATCTAATATATCTCCTTGTATAAAAACATATAGCTTGAATGGATTAAAATACATGAAAACTTGGATTGAATTATTATTAAAAATCAAGTATGTTTTCTGTTCCAAGAGTTTAAAACACTGATTTTTTTTGTAGAGCCAAAATGAGCCCAGTATTACAGTCTTGATATAAAGGTAATTTGCCGTTGAAGAATGAAACCCTTCAAGTTACTTTGGAAACATTACAAAAGGATTACATATTACATTTTATGTATGTTAAAAATACACAGTTTAATGTACAATCATCTGTGTCTGGGCTTTGTATGGTGGAATTCTGGGTTGTACAATACTTGCCTTTAGGCAAAGGGGTTTCTGAAAATAGTGTGTGTAAATATATACTATATACAAATCTGCGTCTTGTTTCATTTGTAAAGGGAGAAAAAGCTTATTTTCTTTATATTCAGACAAATTGGTTTGCATATAACCAGCACTGACTTAAAGGCATGTGTACTGCAAACACTCTTGCTTTTGTGAGGTGGGAATAAAGTATTTAAATACAAAGTGCTGTTTTAATTTTTTTCCTGTAACTGTTGTTTGATCTCATAAATGTGTATGAATTGTTTTCACAGAGAATAAGATGAGAAGGCACCATTAGATTACCAGATGGTTATCCATTCTTTGTTTAAAGAAGCTGAGAAGGAGAGTTCAGCTCCTCCCTTGGTAGTGTCTCCCTATCACGCGTCAGCCCCAGTGGTAAAACTTTGGGTTTATTTTTTATTTTTGTACTTGGCTTCAGATTCATACCAGCTGTAGTGTAAATATGTATTTATCTTCTAAAAGCCCACTATTTTGTTCCTGCGAAGGCACTTGTATCCCATAACCATCACCTTTCAATCTTCTTGCGCCCTCTCATTTTTCATTGTCAGAGCTGTACATGTATTGACCTCAGCAGTGCAGTGTACAGTGTGCACTTTTATTTTCCTGTTTATGCGTGTCCAGGAATTGCATTTGCCCTCCATTCTTCAGCATCAAATTGCATTCTGTGATTTGATTTGATTTTTTGGAATCCCTAAATTATCTTCAGCATAACTACTTCTCCAGGATACAGTTGTCCATTCTAGAGTATGACTTTTATGACTTGTTCCTGGATGCACAACTTTGCATTTGTCTATAGCAGGGGTTCCCAAATGGTAGCATGTATACTCCTAGGGATACTCAAGACATCTCTGGGGGAGTATGCGGAAAAAATTGTGTAATGACAGATTCAATTTTCATTATAATAACAATTGGCATTTAAGGGGTTAAAATATAGAACATAAGCTAGTAGGAGTATGCAGGCAGCTGGTAAATCTGGAAGGGGGTACACAATAAGAAAAAGTTTGGGAACCTCTGGGTTATAGTAAACCTCATTTTGTTTGCTTGGTAAGCTGACCCAATTCAGTTGACTGTCCCGTTTATGTCAGAGGCAAATAAAGTGGACGGGTTCCTACAAAGAGATGGTGTAGACCCCATCTACATGTCCTTGGTTAATTATCATCCTAAACAGACAGAGCAGGACATACTGTAAAGGGGTCAGACAGCAAGTAAAGAGGGTCCTAGATCATCAGTTAGGAACCTTTTTGC